TTATTTCCTGTTGATATTTTTTAAACCCTTAGTAAATCCTGACCATTTATGCTGTTGAAAGTTACAGCTATAATACTCTAGGCAAACCAATGTCCTCTGATGTAGCACATATATCCTCTACCCACATTTCTTAATCCCCATGTCTGCAGATTTACTAAATTTTCCTTTCATTCTAAACTATATAACTAGTCTTCTAAAACATACAGGACAACAACAGGCAACCTAATTTTGTCTCCTGTACTCAATGGAGAAACTCTCAAAAGGTACTGCGGCAACTGTTACTTAATGTGTGGTTCACAGCAGGATAAATTCATGCCTCTCTCTTACTCTTAATCCAGAATAATTTTAGCTACCTGTCAGGCAGAGGAAAGTCTCCAAATGAGGCACAGAGTCCTCAGACCATGCATGCATCACTACTCACTCTTTCGTGGTGACATTCTTGCCCTTCTCTACTTCCTGACTCATGTTTTTCACCAGCAAGTCTCCATATTCTTGGATGATGTGGAACATCTATGCACAAAACACAACACAGTCTAATGGTAAATGGCAGCATCTGAGTTCCCCAATAACAAGTCTTTGAAGTTATAAAAAGATCGTCATATTTTTAAAAGTACTATATAAGACAAAATAACAACGACAAAACAAAACAAAGAACCAACACAATAATGAAACAGAAAAACAAAGACCATTCTTAGCAATGTAATGCTCAAAGGAAATCTCTTTAAAGAATATAATATTATCTCTACCAGTCCTCTGATAGAGTATATTACATTTATAATAAAAAGTCCTCCATTAACTTACCTCCTTCAGTTTTCCACTACTAAAGGTTGGTGTCAGCAATGATCGGATTCTTTTCCATTCTTCATTCTCAGATCTTGTTATACCTTTTTTCATTATTCCAGGTGGACCAAAAGGCTACCATACAAAGAAAATAGATTATTCCTTCTATTAGATTGGTTATCTTAACAGTTATAAATCTGTATAACTAGAAAACATTTGTTAATGGCTACTAACCCTCTTCTAGGTGGCAGGTTTTATGCTATCCTCTAACATTTCCTCAAACTAGGGCTGGAGCAAAGGCTCAGTGGTTAATACCACTTACAAAGGACTCTGGTTCAATTATCAGTAGCTACATTAGGTGGATCACAAGTGCCAGTAACTCCAGTTCTGGGTGTCTGATGCCCTCT